ATTTTAAATATGCTGGCCCATACGTCAAGTATTTAATACGTAAAGGTTTCTGGTAGAAAGACTGGTGTCAGCATGTGATTGCTGGAGTGACATACATGTGAATAATATGTTCAGTAAAAACTCCTGAACAGTTCATAAGAGTTAGTGCAGGTCTTAAGAAAAAAAAATAATCTTAGCAATTGTTTATATTTGCATTAAATAAAACAGGAAGAAAAAGGCAGTATGTGCTTAAAAGCACTAGAGGGAGCCAGGAGGAAGAAGAGGGGAAAACCATTGAAGACATGTTTGCATTTTTAGGAATAGCTTATACAAAGCATCCATTTAAATCCTCCCGCTTACTTCAGCTAAAATGCAGCTACAGGTTGGCCGCTGCTTCTGGCTGCTCTCTGTTCCCTCACACTTCACTAAAGAATTTTCAATTTCCTAGTCCTGAGAGAGGCCAGGAGCTTTTTAAATGGCTGTAGGGAATTGTTTCATATTTGGATGAGCAGCCAAAGGTTAATTTGCCTTTCAGTGCTGGTGGCTTTTTAGGGAGGATCCAGGTATAGGCTCAGTTCTGAGTTTGTCTCCCTCCGAGATTATATGGGGAGAAAGTAAGTGGGGACGTTTGTATTGGGGATCAGTTAGATTAAGAAGAGTTTTAATGGTATTGATTTGGAGTGGCCACATTGCTCTTGCAGAGGACCTAGGAAAATGAGTATCTGCGAGCTTGTAGAATAACATACAAGCATGACATTACTGTAAAGTCTCTCCTCTTATTTTATAATGATTTAGAAGTGGCGTTGGGCACGCTTTTTATATTGCTTTGTCATAAAGCTAAATGCCTTGAGTTAAAGTGTAACAGCTTTATGATGTAGATAATATAAGTAATTTGGTTTTAGTTTCCCTCCACCCTGATAAACAGCCGTAATGTTGGTATCTTGAGATCTGTAAAAGTAGGATGAAATCCTGTCTGTGTGTGCGGGTTCTTTAGTTTTCAGGTTTTGGAGGGTGGGGGAATCTTCTTAGTATTCTAAAGTTTCTCCTCTTGATATCCAGTATTACACAACTAAACCTGTCGCTGTGGAGAACTGAATTTTGATGGCCTGGGGCCTTGGCACTGAGCAATTTTTGGGGGGGGGAAGGAAGGATGTGTTGTTGTTGTTGTTATTATTATTATTATCTGAGGCTGCTTAGGGCTTTGGAATGCTGGAAGTCATCTCGGAGGAGGCAGACAGACTGGAAGTGGGTGATGAAATGAGCAGAATTAATATATATGTACTGTGTGTTTATCATCTGCTGCTGTAATTTATTGCTACCCTGCTCATTGTTAAAGTTCCCTAATTTCTCTTTTCCACTTTAGAAAATAAATGGAAAGGGCAGGAATAATGCATTGGGGTTTTCTTCCTTTGGTCTTTATTAGATTGAATGATATTAAGTTACAAAAGCAAAGACAAACATTTCTCAAAAGTACTCTAACCATGCTTTAGCCTGAGGACTCTGCTCACTTTAAAGGAAAAAATATAATGGAATTTAAATATGTGGAGGCTGGAGTCCTTTAGCAGTGCGCAGAGATTTTTTTTCAGTGTACTTTGAGACTATAAAGAATTGTTGGCTATTTATGATTACATCATTCCAGATTTGAGATGGCTACAAATTAAGAATTGAAGAAAACATTTCCTTTGAAATATTTAATAACCTCTCGTCAACAAAAAAAACCAAACAGGTAAAAGTACTAAGTAATTATGGCATAATTCCTGTTGGATGGATGGTTCAGGGCCTTTTCCTGTCATCTGAGAATTAATTGCACTGAAGATGTACTCAAACAGAGTATTGGAATAGCAGAGAAATTTTTTTCTCCCTGCCCCTTTAGCTACTCTGCTTTGCACTGTTTCTCCCACTGCAATGCAGGGATGGCGGCAGACGTGCTTCTTGCTCTCCTGGTGTGTAGAGGGCTCCTATTAAAGCCCAAAAGTGTTTCCTCAGGTAGAAGATGGGCAGAGTTGAACTGTAAATTGAGTGCATATTCAATTTATTCATCAGAACCAGGAAAACAGGCATATTTAGTCCGAAACAGAGGATATCAATTTTCTAGATAAATTTCATATGCTTCCAAAGGGCTCCTTACCCAGAATGGTCTGTGAATACTTGGGAACTCAGTGATACACAGATTTTCCAGTGGGGCCCCGTAGTGTGCAGCTAAAACAGCTTTTTTGTGATTATTCAGTCTTTTTTGTGATTATTCAACTGCAGGGTAGCACCCACCGATGTTGAACTCCATGGGGCAACAGAGGGGTGTCTTTTTACCTGTTGAAGCTGCGGTGGATGCACTATGGAAAGGATATAATTTCCCTCGGGAGAGTTAGAGGGGAAAAAAGTTATTCTCTTAAAAACACACAGTGGAAATCAATGACATGGCGTACTTAGATTTTTGTGTTGCCTTAGGAAAAGCCGGTACCTTCAGTAGCAGCCCAAGGGCAGAGTTTTTATCGTTTGACTTTCGCTGTGACGTTTACCCAAAGGCTGCGGTATCCGATAAAAAAGAAAGGGCCAACCCCAGAGTGGGTGTAAGGTGCCACAGTGCCCCTTCCCTCTCCCCGCCGAGCTGGGGCAGAGCAAGGCGCCCATGAAATGATGCCCGGCGCCAGTTTTCCCCCCCGAGTCCTTCATGTTGTGAAACGTCAGCCTGTGCTGGTTGTCCATGTGCCCGCTAAGCTTCGTGGAGAAAGATGCCACTTTGGAATGCGGTTCGTCCTGCTCCAAGCTTGGCATCCACAGTGTCCCTCGCTGAGCTTTCTCTGGAGGTGGCCTGGAGAGGAAACCTGGCTGGGGGTGTCGAACGTGAAGCTTTTAATTATGTGCTGGAGGAATATTTCACTATGGGTTTGGAGCAGAAACTGCTACTTGGTGTCACTTGTTGCAGCACTTTTGGGTGCAGCGGGAGCAGCACTGGTGCCTGTTCCCAGTACTGTTCAGGGCAGCCCAAAAACATGGGGCTGAGGTATCTTGATGATCTGTTAGGTAAAGTGTAAGCACAAATGGTGGCATGCTTTACAGATAAGTCGAGAGCACAAATCTGTTGATCTGAGGTCGGCTTGGCACCTCCTGTGCAAATGCAGGGAGGTTAAGGTAGCAGGGACAACTTCTGCCTCTCCGGGCCTGGGAAGGATGAGCAAGGTGCTGATCCTTGGCTCTTCAAAGTGAGGATTTGGGATACTCCTGTTTGCCCCCGTTAGGAGCTGGGATAGCTAGCAAAGGATGATAGCCCTTTAAAAGGTGGCTGTTTCATCTGTATTCCTCAGAAATGAGGTTTCTCATATTTTTTTGGTTGCCTTTAATGTAGGGCTGTGAACAGCTACTGCAGGTGAGCCCTAAATCAAGATCTGATGCAACTGTAGTGCTGGTATGCGGCGGGGGCTGAGATTAGCTCCCAAGCAAATGTAGCATGCAGAATTATTTTTAATAATGTAGGACTTTGGCTGAGCGTTGCCCTGAGGAAGAGGGGACGGGAGGTGAAATCTCCCCCCGAGCTGGTGAGTCCAGCAGAAATACATGCTGGGCTCTCATCCCTGCTGGGGCTCAGCCAAGATTTAAATCCCATCCTGCTGTGCCCGCGGTGGCTGGTAAAGCATCCTCCTTTCCCCGCTCTCAACGCCTGTTAGACAGCTGGAGGGGGGGAAGGCACTTGCCATTCCCTTTGGGAATGTGTGGCGCTTGCTGAGCAATAGCTGCTGAGAGAGAAAAGTGAAGCATTAACAATTCCTTTAATTGCATTTTGCTGTATTTGTGTGCTTGATAATAGCTGGTAGTACTTGTTTCAGAATACTTTAATTGTATGATTTTTTTCCCCATCACATTAGCCTTTGAAAAAATACTTCAGGCTAATGTTTTTCTTCAGTGGGATTTAAATTTTGCTTAGAGTATATTGCAGGTTTTTTTTTTCTTCCCCTCCAGTATTATTGTGCAAAAGTATTTGGATCTTTATGTTATATATAGTCAGGCAGGAAGCAGCTTAACTTTGGCTTCTCTGGGCAGGACTCCGCTGAAAGATGTGGTGCGTGAGGATGTTGATTTTGTTATTATCTTGTAACAACAACCCGCTGTTGGGCTCCCTTATTTGCATTCTCAGCAGGACAGCAAGGTGAATAATTTAATTCCAGCAGCCTCTGCCACGTGATGGTGCGAGGACCCGTCAGCGATGCCTCCCCTACGCTGACAGACTTCGGAGGGGAATGGAAACTTACAGAAGTGATGCAAAATCGTTGCATCTCCTCCCTTAACCCTGGAGAAATCTCTCGGTGGAGCGATCGCTTCTTCCTCTGCTTTTCCACGCGTTCCTCTGACGTGGTGACTGGGAGGTGTGTGAGCCTGCGAGCAAGACAAGCGAGGGAGTGGGAAGCGGGGAGGGCAGTGAGGAAAAATGCACACCCAGCCACGGAGCTAGTCGGAGCAGGAACTGCGAGGAGCCGGAGCGAGGCCGGGAGTCCGGCCGCAGGCAGCGGGGAGTGGAAATTTACAGCTGCTTGTGAGCGCCTGTGCATGTTGTGGTGACTGGGAGGTGTGTGAGCCTGCGAGCAAGACAAGCGAGGGAGTGGGAAGCGGGGAGGGCAGTGAGGAAAAATGCACACCCAGCCACGGAGCTAGTCGGAGCAGGAACTGCGAGGAGCCGGAGCGAGGCCGGGAGTCCGGCCGCAGGCAGCGGGGAGTGGAAATTTACAGCTGCTTGTGAGCGCCTGTGCATGTTCAAGTGATCCTTTGTGCTCACGCTC